TCATAGCCCTTAGTTCATGAAGCCCTCCCTGCACAAGTCCTATTTATTCACTCATATTGTTTTTATTCCTCAATCTTTTCTTTTTTATTTCCTCCCAAACTTCATTTTTCTCTCTTTCTTTCTCTCTCCCTTCCTACATTCTCATTCTAAATTCAGGTGCACAGAAGAACCAGGGCTACATGCAACAGCCTCATCCCTGGGCCATGTAGCTCCATTTCTCATTCATTCATTTGCTCATTTATTCTTTCACTTGCTCACTCCTTTGTCCTTTCTTTCTTATTTTGGGTGTTCTTTTACTTATTAGGTCTCCTGGTAAATAATTGTATTAGTCAAAACCCCATGTGCAAAATAAACCTCACTGGCCCATGTTTTTATTTGCATTTACAATCTTTCTTCCCTGAATTTAGTTACCTTTTACATTTAGTATTTACTCTTTTATTTATGGACCTCAATTGCATATATTTCATTGCAGTGCTTATTTTGGGGCCGGTGTTTTCTCAATTTTTCATCTATTCTTTGAAAGGTGTAATGTATCTATTTACAGAGTATGTATGTAAACCAATTATAACCCCTGTTCAGACAGCCTCTTAACTAGCCATTTATCACTTTGGTTGTTTATTATCTTTCCCTTTTTGCTTTTTTTATTCTCCTTGTTTTCCCTTGCCCTGGACACAGGATTGGATGATCTCATCCATCTTTAGGATTAATGACAACCCATTACCAACCCCCAGGGGCCTTTCTATAGCAGACACACCCATGTTACCTTTTTTCAGGGTTGTTTAGTGGGGGTTTTTTTTTTTCCTTCTCTTTCAGGTAAATTTCATTTTGCCTTATCTCTCTTACTTTAACGCAGATGTTTCTTTCTTGCATGTGTTCCCATGTAGGGACTGGAGGAGCCTGGAGTGACGTCAGAAGCACTGCCCCGGCTCCTGCCAGCGCTGCTGTTCCTAAGGCAGCCCCTCGCGATCCATTCGTCCTTCCTGTCACTTGCATTTCAGTATCTATCCTTTTATTTGTGGACCTCAGCTGCACAGAATTGGATTAACATCATCTGTGATTCCTGGAGCCTTCTCGAAACCCATCCATGGGGCGCCCTTTTGCTTGTTAATTCCTTGTACTGGTGCTTTGCTTTAGGGTTTATTGAACAATATCAAGAGCCCAGTTTTCAATCAGTCATCATTTGGGGGTCAAGACATCTCATTTCTCTGTTCTAGATGGCCCTCTCTCATATATTCACATCTATGTATGTATATTCACTTAATATGTTTTTATTGCTTATATCCATCTTGTCATTATTTTCTGTGCCCCTCCTTCCTTGATTTCTCTTTTTGGCATTATTTTGTCCTTCTGAGACTTGGTGCAGAAATGAAGTCACTGAAATCATTTTTCATTCATTTATTCATTCATTCATCCACATAGCCATTCCTCTGTTAATTCCTTCCCTCTCTTTAGCCATGTGGGTTTTTTTTTTTTTTTTTGGTGTTTTTTTTTTGCTGTGGAACCTCACTTTTTACTAATTATATTTAATGAGTAATATTTGTTCATTATATTTAAGTACTTATCCAGTAAGTGCCTTTTCCTCTATATATCTATTTTAATTTATTCCCCTACATCTTTCTTTGTCCAAGTCCTTCCTTCTATTTTCCAAATTATTTTTCTTGCTTTCTCGTGGAACACACACATTTATTCTCTCAGTCTTTTGTGTATGGTATTGTTTTTATTATTTATAAACTTCAGGGCCACAGATTTGAACTAAGGTGGATGATCAGTGTTAAACCTAACTCCTCTCATACATGTAGTTGTTTGACCTATTTATTTATTATCTTTTTCTACTCCTTTTATTTATGTTGACTTTTCCACCATCTTAATTGGTTTTTCTACCAGTCTTTCGATCTTTCTTACAACCTTTCATTCCTTTGGACACCAGGCACCAGGAACTGGCTGAACCCTAGTCCCCTCTATAATCCCCTCCTCATCAGTCCCTGCAAACCTTGTTCCTCCTTCTTTCCTTCATTCATGCAGTAATGCATCCATTCAGTCTTTCTACTTAAATCAGTCTTTTCCTTCCGGGTGGCAGGGGCACCTAATTGGATATATGATCATCTATAGTCAGTGGGTCCTCCCCTGCTCTGGCCCCATGACAGTCCTCCGTGACATGGGTCAGCTTTGAACTCTTTCCCGGGTGGTTGGATGGCTACCCATGTCAGAAGCACAGATGTGAATTAATTAGGGTGCTTGGTTCATGTACCCTCAGTCTTATTCCTATGTATCCATTTATTTGTTTGTTATCTTAATTACCTTTCTTCTTTTTTAGGTAATTTTTACATTTCTTTCCAATGTTCTCTGTTTCTCCCTTTCACTCTCATTCTTTCTTTCCTGAATTCCTTCATTCTTGGAGCTCAGTTTTCACGGATGGATGAATTCCCCCGCCACCTGCTAACATCCACCATCCCCCATAGCTCCAATCTCATTCATTCATCCATCCTTCCTTCCTCCCTGGGTATTTTTTATTGGGTATTTACTCCACCGTGTGTGAGGGCATCTCGTCACCAGTCCGAGCCTAACACTCTCCTATGGACCTACCCGCCTGCTCATTTAGTTATTGTCACTTTGTAGTCTCCCTGTCTCTTTTGTTACAGATTTCTACATCCCTTCTTTCCCTCACTGTGCCATCTTTCACTCGCACAGAGCTTCTGACCAGAGGGGATGCGTGAAAACGCCCAGCCCGTCCCCAGGAGCTGCCCAGCCCTTCTCCCCTACCCCCACCTCCTCCTTGTTTCCTTAGTCTCTTCAACGTGCTTATTTAGAATAGTAGATGCTTCCTCTTGTATCCACAGTACCGTGGTTTCACACTAGACTCACCTTAACCCTGGACTTGTGACCTGTCCTTCTAGCATTGATTCACCCATTAGTGGACTCCTGCACCTGACCTCTGCTTGTTCTTCCATATGCCTGGATGTGCGTTTAGATGCTACATTTAGTCCCTCGTTCTTTCGTCATTTCATGTACCAGAGCTCAGATCCCACGACCGACGACTCAGAGCCCCTCACACCATGCTCGGCCCTGGTCCAGGGACTCCTTCCTCACTCAGCCATTCTGTTTTTCTTTCTGTCTTTTTCGGCTGTCTTTCACTTTGGTGTTTATTTTTATTTATTTATTTATGTGTGCCCAGAGTTTTAAAAAACAACTTTTGGTTAAAGTTACTTCTCAACTTTGCCCCCCCCCCCCCGATCCTCTTTAACTAATCTTTCCATTCTTTTTCTGTGGCTTCTTTTTCTATGCCAGGAGCACATGCTTAAAATTAACCCCAAAGCTCGGCTTATAATACAATGACACAGTCCCTCTTGTATATTGACTCGTATTCATGTTCAAAACTTCTGTCTTCCTTTGATTTATTATTTTGCCTCCCGCCATTCTCCCTCCTGGCAGCCACCTGCTCCTTCTCTCGGCACCTTTGGGTTTGTCAGATACTTTCTCTTTAATTTTCTAATGTTTACCTTTTTGACGAAAAGCTGTACATAATAAATGTGCACATGTACATCTTCAGAGTTTAGAGATTAGTATACGCTGTGAACCCATTACCACAGTCTGTGCCATAAACCTATCGGTCACCTCGGCAAGTGTCCCCCCACCTCCGTATTCATTGTTATCATTTATGATAAGAACACTTTACATAAAATCTACCCCTCGGGCAAATTTTTACACATATAGTATTGTCACCAGTGGCTTGTGCATTTTCACTTCCTCACTCTTTCTTTTATTTAGCATTTGTTCTTTTATGGAAACATCGTAGGTGCTCTGAATTTGAATTACACATTCCTTGATCCATGCCACCTGACATGGTTCGTGTACGGCCTTATCTACAGGAGTCGATACTGTATTGACTTACATATTGATCTCCTGTGCATCGAATTGCGTCCTGTTCAGTGGACACTCACATGCTGCCTCGCTCCCTTCTTTACCTATTTGTTTTTATTCATGCTTCTGTTCTTTCATTCACCATTCACTTATTTGGACCAGTGAAATGACCTCCCAACCAAAAAAACTGAACAATCCCCGTATCTGAGACCTTCTTTTTTTCTCCTGCTGAGTTAACCACCAAGACCAAGGTGTGCACAACCCATAACCTTTAACACATCCACGTGGTAGATGCAGGCACAGGTATGGTACATGTTAGCGTAGCCACACCCTCCCCGGGCCCACATCCTAGACAACTGGGGGCGGGGTGGGCACCTCCCGCAGACCCCATGAATGGCCCTCCCCCTGACAAAGCAGCCTCGAGAGCCAGCAGCACACAGAGACACACACGTCGTACACGGTCTCCCCGGTGGGAAAAGACGGATATGGAGTTTGATTTTAAATAGACAGCTTTGTTTGTGGCGATATAAAAATATTTTGGCCTTTCAAGGCAAATACAAAAGGAACTCCCCATTACCATTGCTGAGTGTCTCGGCCCCAAACAATAAAGAACTTGAAGAGGTTTAGCTGGACACTGTGAAGACAGAAAATCTGCCCATTCTGTTTCCCAGACATTTCAAGGAGGTGAGCGAGGTCACTGGAGCTGGGGGCCCATTTGAAAGGCATGCCCCTCGCTCCGAGGTCTTTCGCTGGCCTGTGAAGGGCCCCAGCTCACAAGGGCACTTCCATCCCAGTCTGCCCTGCAGCACGAGAGCCAAAGGGACACTCAGTAATGAAAGGGCCATTCATTTGGAGGAGTGAAAGCGAAGAAATTCTTTTGGGGTCTGGCACTCGAAGCTGCCTATAGAAATCTCTGCCACAACACAGGAGGCTGGAGGTCCTGCCTTAGAACATGAGCCCCCAGCCCAGGTCCGAACCCGGCGAGCTGGGACCACCCCTCCCCCCGCCCCGCAAGAGGACCTCCGACCCACCTGTGCTCATCAGCCCCTCCCACAAGGCTCGCCTGGCAGTGTGCTCTGAGTGGCAGCCCCCACCCTCAGTGACAAGGCCACAGATGTATGCCCCACCCTCCAGGAACTTACGATTTTACAGGTGGCAGATGCTGGGGTTATGTCTGAGGTCTCATCCCACGAAGGATTCCGGACGATGGATTCGGCTGGAACGACAAACACTGGTCACTGGAAGAGAACCTCACTCGACTGAATGAAGCAGGGACTCCCCAACTTCTAGCAAGTGTGGAATTGGGGGAACCAAGCATCTCTCTTTTCAATACACTGTGTCCTTGCCTGCCAAGGCCCCTCCCTCCCCCACCAACTTCAACCACAAATGGAGTGGATGGGGGCAGGGGGCGGCACAGAACAGGGGCCCCAACCCGAGAGCCCTAGGGTTGGTGCTACCCATGGGGCTAAGTGCTGTCTTGCAAAACCAAAGGTTTTGTAAGCAAGAGCTGAGATGGACAGCAAAACGGGGCAGGGGCGCTTGCTGGAAGTCAGGACAGTGCCGGTCAACAGCGCAGCGTGGCGGGAGCGTGACCAGCAGAGCAGCTGGCCCTGGGTGAGGCACAGTCGGGGGCTGCGGGCCACACTGAGGGCTGTGAGGTCTTGGGCAGTGTTCCCTAAAGCCTGGCTCCCACGTCATGGGGCAAAAGATGATGGGCTGGACAGACAGCTCCGCTGCACGTAACGCACACGTTTTAATCGGCGCCAGGAAGAGCCACGACCAAGCACACCGAGCCTTTGACTTCAAGCCGTGCTCACATTTTGAGTTTAAAGGAAGCGAGTTGAGTCACGGCAGGTATATGTCATCACTTGTCCCTCGATATCCGCAGGGCCCTGGGTCCAGGACCCGCCCCCCCCTCCAGGTACCAAACTCCACGGGCGCTCCAGCACCCCCCCCCTAAGTGGTGTCGTACTGGTGAGTGACCCGCGCACATCCTCCCGTAGACTACATCGTCTCTAGGTCACTCGTAACAGCTAACAGTGTAAGTGCTGTGTAAGTAGTTGTTATATGGACTGTTCAGGGAATGGTGGCAAGAAGCCTGTCGTGTTCAGTGTGGACGCAGCAGCCCCCACTGGGAGCCTGACGGCGCGGACCGTCGCCTTTTCCCAAATACTTCTATCCGCGTTGGGTTGACTTCACGGGGGCGGAACCCAGACACAGAAAGCCAACTGGATGTTGGCTCATCAGCTGAAACAAATCTGCCACACTAACGCAAGATGCTCGTGACCGGGCACACGGGGAGAGGGCAGTATGGGGTATCTCCTGAGTCACCATTCGCTTTTTCTGTAAACCAAACTGCTCGGAGAAATAGGGTTCGGTTCCCGCTGGGGGCATGTACTTCGGTTGCAGTTTGTCCCCGGCCCTGGTTGGGTCATGTGGGTGGCAGCCACTCGATGTGTCCCTTTCACATCGATGTTTCTCTCTCTTTTTCTCTTCCTCTCTCTCCCTCCCACTCTGTCTGGATAAAGAATGGAAAAATGTCCTCGGGTGAGGATAAAAAAAAATTAAGTGAGTGGATTTTGAACATGTGTTTGAGTCTAGTGAAGATAAGTGGGTGTGGCCAACAGATGGTGTGAACAGTAAGGTGGGTGAGGGTGGAGCTGAGAGATGGGCGAGACGGAGAGGGCCCAGGTGCCCAGGTGTCCAGGGGACCAGGAAAGGGGTCTCTCCAACACCCCTGCTGCCTTTCCCTCTCCATTCACAGCCCCACCACTCGCTGGGGCACCGGGGACACACCTCCTACTTCCATATCCTCCTCAAAATGCCTTCCCTGGCCTTGAGCTTCCCCAACACTGTTTCCCCCAACTGGTTGATTTTTTATCCAAAAAAACAAATTAGCTGGGTCAGTGTGGTCAGTGGTTGAGCGTCAACCCATGCACCAGGAGGTCGCTGGTTCGATTCCCAGTCAGGGCACAAGCCCAGGTTGTGGGTCTGATCCTCGGGGGGGGGCGGCATGCAGGAGGCGGCCAATAGATGTGCTCTCTCATCGCTGTTTCTATCTCTCTCTCCCTCTACCTTCCTCTCTCTAAAATCAATAAAGGAAAATTTTTTTAAAAAAACAAAAAGTCTTTTAAAAGTAAGCGTTAAGCAGTTAGCAGCTCGTGGGTGACCAAGGGCCGACTCGGGGACCTCCATTTTGTGCTGGACATCACCTGAGATGTGCCCGGTCCTCCCCAGGAGCCCCTGTGCACCCGGGTGGCGCTCTCGTTGTCAACACGGTCCTAAGGTGACAAAGGAACCCCAGAGCCTGACACCGCAGCCAGACCGACCACAGGCACTGCCATGTGCCAGGGGACTAGGAGCCAGGGACTGTGGGGGTGGAGCCCTTTGGGGGTTTGCTCTGGCTTGGTCTCTTTGGTATTTTAATGGGACCAGCAAAATCAGAAGCCGTTCGGGGCATCTGGGTTGTTTCCTGATTCTGCTCCGGGGCCCCATGAACCCTCCGAGCTCCTGACTGCCCTTGATCCACTTTCCTATAGAAGCTGCGTCTGTGCAGACACAGCCCTAGTCTCCAAGGAGCGCGGACCAGCCCTGGGTTTGCCGTGTTGTATCAGTAACACGGTGCCGGGCTGTAGTCTTAACACACGTCAGAGAAGCTGCACAGATGAGTCACTTTCTGGTACCAAAGGAAGACAAGAGGCCTCCTTACAGCATCCAGAGATCTCACAAACATGTGCCCCGAGCTCCCGGTCCACGCGGGAAGCGTGATGGGCCCACCAACGACACCCTGCGCGGTGTGGCGGGGTTAGAACATTCTGGCTCCGAATGCCAAGATGCCTAAAGTCACCCTTTCCTGGAGGCAAGCAGCCCCTTCGTGGTCTGGCCTGTCTTTGGGACAACGAACTGGATGCTTATGAAGACATCCAAAGACTGTTTTTCATAAAACGATGATTTCCAGAAACAGAGCCTGTAGTTTACACAGTCCGCCTCGCCCACTCCCTACCTGTTGAGTCAAGACCACCCCCTTACGAAGTCCCTACAAGGTCCTTGCAGGGCTAATTTCCTGTACCTTCCTGAAGGCTGGGGCCCTGGGCATTGCGGGCCCACTTATAAAAATGGGAAAGGTAATTGGGACACCTTTGAAATCCTGTCCGCGCTCGGGCCCCGGGCTCCGGGTTGCCGTGGGCCGGGCGGTGCGGGATGTGTACATAGGCGACTTCCCGGAATCCCTCTCTGTTCAGGAGTGGGCAATTAGAGAGAATTAGGGCCTATTTGGCTTATGTGCACCGTTAATGGACAGAACGGCAGAGGCAGCTTTGGGAAGGCAGTCTGCCGGTCTAATTGGAGCTGGCAATTTTTTGATTCCTCACTTCAGCTCACAGGTATTGTCGTAACCAAGGTCACCACACAAAGACTGCAGCCCACCCCGGTCATCTGGGGCGCAGGCCTGCCCGAGGTTCGGGGAGCTCTCGATGAGCGCCCGCTGATGCAGAGAGGGCGCTGGGAGGCTGTCGGAGCCGGGGCTGAGACGGCAGCGGCCCGGGCCTGGTGGCTGGGCGCGGATCCAGAAGTTGGCACCCTGATGGCTTTTTCAGGAAGTTCCCCCGAGGGAGCCAGGGTGCTGGCAGGGGTGCTGCCTGTTGCCGAGGGTCTTGTGACCCGAAGGCACGGGGGGGAGCCACGGGGAAGGTGTAGCTGCCGCACTCTCCCGGGACGGCGGCCATGAGCCAATCACCACACTGTGACTGCCCCCGGCCCGGAGAGGTGTCCAGGCCTGGCCGGTGGCCCGCCCATTTGGAAAAGTGCTCTAGAAAACGCAGTCCTTGCCCCGAACAGCCCCTGGAGCTGCCGTGGAGCACAGCACGGCTAGAATCTGTCCCTGCGAAGCTGGCCTGCTAATGACTGTAACCCCGCCGGCAGGCTGGCCGGGTGGGAGCCAGCCCCGGCAGCGGGACTCACCGCGGGCCTGCCGCCTCGGGCTCTAAAGTACACCCCCTTGGACGGTAGCAATCTCAGCCCCTAATTCTGAAGACTCAGCAAACAAATAAAGAGCTCAAAGGACCACTGAGGAAACCAGGCGGGCCCTCTGATGGCGGTGATCCAGCACCACCCCACTTCACAGATGGGACAACTGAGGCCCTGGGGGCTAGAGACAGGGGTCAACAGCTGGAATCAGGTGTCTAGAAGGCCTCTTAGGGCTGCTATCTGACCCTGAGTCCCAGCATCTCTCCTCTGGCAACCTGACCAGTCCCCGTAGCAGGGGGTGTGCCTTCATCCCAATGCCCAGCTAGGAGACCAGTGGGGGCCCAATCTGGACACTGGGGACCTCCATCCCCTCCTCTGGTGAAACAGGGCCCTAGCCTTTCCCATGCTGACATCCCAGGCTTCTGCCTCACTTTACAGATGGGGAAACTGAGGTCCCGAAGCCAGCGGTAACCAAGACCCCAGCCGAGACAGACCTGGCATTCCTTCCTCTCGGCAGGGACTTCGCCCTGGTTCCACAGGAGGGCCAGGGCCTCAGCACAGTTTTCCCTCCAACCCGAGTCTCCTTGCTCAGGGCCGATCCCGCTCCCCTGGGCCGAGCTGCCTCTGCCCCACCCTCCCGACCCCAGCTCGGGCCTGTAGATCCTGAGCCCCAGCCCCGACCTCCTGGACTGGTAGGAAGGACTCTCTCCGCCCACAGGGCGGCCTCCAGAAAGGGATGAACAGCAGCGGGAGCGCAGCTGCGGCCCTGGACGGCCAGCACAGCCGTGCAGTCAGCCTTTGGCCCCCGACTGCCCTCCTTCCCCAACTTTCCATCCCGGAGTTCTGTCCTTGGCCCCATTCTGTCTCTCTGGCTGTGTCTCAGGCAGGAGGCCCAGTGTGATCAAATTCTTGCTCAGAGGCACAGCGACTAATTCTTCCTCCTGAGAAACTTGCAAAAAGAAAACCCTAGAACCGGGAGCAGGAGCATGGCCAGGGTCACGCCGCCGGGGTGGCTGGTTAAGCGTGCCATTGTGTAGCCTCTTGTCTGCGTCTCTGAGGGCACACACAAGGGCAAGGGGGCCCCCGGGGGCCGCAGCCCCCAGAGGGGACACACACACTCCCACACCCTCCTTCTGGGGGGAAGGTAATTGAGGTTTTCTCCTTTTCATCTGAAGAAAGGCACCTTCTATTGAAAGAATGTATTCACGGACCTGGGAAAACGCATCTGCACTCGGCCCTCCCAATTATCCCCAGGTGGCTGTTCTCCACGGGGCGCCCCACATTCCTTTCTGCCTGCGCCTTTGTTCCCATCTGAACGGCCCTGGGAGCTCCCAGGCTAAGAGTCTCCTCCTTAAGCCCCTGCCAAAGACCCTATTCACTGCACAGAGAGAAGCCAGGCAAAAGGTGGTGGGGAGCCTTCCTTTGCCATGACCCCCAGGGTGGGGGACTTAAGAAGTCTCCATCTGGATTTTTTTCTCTAAGCCCAAAGAAATTGGAGAGCAATTAAGAGAGTCATGACTACACCCTCCGCCATCCTCTCCCCTAATTAACTCCTCTCTCACACATCCCCTCAAGTTGGGGCCCACCCTGGCCTCAGCCACCCAGCACCTGCTCTGCTCTCTGGTCCCCATGACCACCAAGGACTTAAGGGGGAAGGGAGCTGAGAAGACAATTACAACTATGTCTGGGGACTTTCTGATCAAACTTGGTTCCCCAAGACAATGGCTGGAGCGATCTGTTTTCCAAGGAAAACTGGAATATGGGACCAAGCATCTACCACCTGGGAAGCACTAGAAATCCCAAGATGTGTGGGCACCCCAAAACACACCCCTCAGGTGCTGGGCTGCTTGCCTTGGCACAGGTAGGAGGTCACCCCACCTCTACTGGTCCAAATGAACTTGAGACCCCTCTCCCTGTCCTGTCCCGTTGCAGGGTCCATGTGCCCAGAAGGGGCCATGGTTCGGGGGCTCCCCGGGGCTCCCTCCCTTTGCACCTTTCCTGGCTCTGAAACCTACTCGCTCAGCACGCTGGAGGGGTACCCGCCTCTGCAGTCCTCTTCCCCAAGGCCCCAAAGTTGGGGTTGCTTTTGGAACAGGCACCGCAGTGACAGCCTTCCCTCCGCCCCCCTCAGACGTGGGCCTCTCTTTCCAAATGGGAACCCCACACTTGAGATGGCCTCTTTGGAGAGATACAACTCTTTTCTGGAATGTTCCGTCTGCTAAGACCAGGGATGGCAGACCAAGCTGCCCTGCCTTATTTTCTTCGAGAACAGGGAACAGGGCTCGGAGCGGGGAAGGGGACGGGAACCCAGTTCTGGGGACTTGTCTACAACGTGCTCACTTCCAGTCTCCAGGAAAGAAAGCCGGCGCCCAGCCGTTTCCCGGGTCAGCCCACAAGGCTGGTTTCTGCACCGGCCGCTGCCCTGCGTCCCTACAGGGCCTTACTTTGCATCAGTTCTGTGGAAAGCCACCTTCCTCTTTGCAAGGAGACGCATTCGCAAGCTCGTTCAAGACGGGCTGGTTCTCCTTCTCTCTCTGGGCATCAGATTGCGCGTAAGAGACACACTGGAGTTACTTCGTGTGAATGAATGAATGAGAAACACAAGCACTGTGTCGCCCTCGGCCTCGCCAGGTTCTGGCATAACTTGGAGAAATGTGCTTGGGGAAGCACTTGGGGTTTGACTCACAAGCCAGGAGGCACGAGGTCGGGGACCCTGGAGGGTGCAATCCGCCCCTGGAGCAAACCTGCAGGTGGGAGAATGGGGGGGAGCGGGGCACCTTCTTCCTTTGCATGTGCACAAGGCTGAGCACCCCTTGGCTCCCTTCCCATCCCCCTGGGGGAGGCGGACGGCACGGGAGGGCCACCTTTCAGACATGCCCACCATCTCTCCTCCACCTTCGGTGCCCAGCCAGAAGCATCTGGCAGGAAGCAGGCCCCAGGGAGCAGTTTAGGCCACCACAGTGACCGGGTCCTCTGGCTGCTCTGGGTCTCATTTCTACCCCTTACTGCTCAAGGATGGTACCAATCCATCAAAAAAGAATTCTCCTGAAAATATAGATTTTTTCAACACTTCATAATGGCCTTTCTGCAGTTCCTGGACTGACGGGGCTGATGTACGATGCTACATTTCAACGTCTTTAATTCCGAACTCGATCTATTTGTATCTGTTTTGTGCTGATGCTACACGAAACCCAAAATGTGTGTTCACCACTCACAGGTGTACAGGAAATACAGCTCGACTCGTGTCCCACCTCCCAAACTGCAGGGCAGGGGGAGGGGCCAGCGACTTCTGGAACTGGCTGGTCACTTGCCCTCAGTGTGACTCTGACCCTTGGCTCGGCTCACCTTCAGGGGGGCCTCAGATGCCCCTATGGAAGAGTCTAGAAGCTGTGGGCTTCTAGCTCCACGGACCTTTCCGGTAAGCTCTGGATAGGGCCCCAGGTGAGCTGTGCCCAGCCCCGCCCAGGCCTCTGTCCCACCGCCCAGAGTTTGCAGGTGGTCTGGCAAATACCAGCTGTGGAGTAAATGTCACAGGGCACAGTCTTCCGGGGCGGCTCCCTGGGCTTAGCCCTGGGCACACACTCCCCACCTCTCTCCAACCTGCCACGCGCCCCCAGCAGTGAGAACAAGCAAAGGCCACAGGTCTGGGTCCCTCTGCCCCTCTCCGCCTACCCGGATGCGTTTAATTTCAAAATGATATTTGCACCCCACTTCCATTTTGGGGAGGAGGTAGGGCTGTGGAGAAGCTGCCTCTGAAACCCGTCTGATGGAGAGTACAGTGGGTGCTGCGTGGAAGCCAAGGCCCCACAGGGCACCACCTCTGAAAACCCCAGTGCCCTCCACGGGACTCCGGAGGGGCTTTCCCCGAACTCGGCCACTGCGACCCCAGAAAGAAGGGCGCCTGCAAAGAGCCTCCTCTCTTCCTGTCGTCCTGCTTAGCTGTCCGTGGGGCCTCCCAGGACACCCAGCTTGACCGTCTGGGCCTCAAGGCACACCTGGCCCCAGCTCACGCCGGGAAAGGGGGACCCAGATAAACAGATGACACGTCGCAAGTGCTGTGCGCTATAATCCCATCTCTTCTTCCCTACCATTACCGACTCCGTGGAAGCAAACAAAACACTCCCATCTCCCTGCAATCTCAGGGGTAAGGAACAGAGGCCAAGAGAAGAACTCACTCAAAGCCACTATTTGATTAAGGGACATTATCAGAGCCTCGTGTGGGAGCAGCCGGCGCGCTCTCGGGGGCTGGTGTTACCACCACGGCTTGGGGGAGAATGTTTCTCTAGCTGCCGGGCAGACGTGCATTCCTGTTGCCACGTCTCCAAAGTGGGGGTGTGTAGGAGAGCAACTGACCCGCTGCTTGGCGCATGAACAGGCTCAGCGAAGCTTGTGGAGCACCTACTGTGTACCTGACCCCAGCCGGTTGCGGTTCTCAGGGCCCAGACGGGAGCTGGACACTCCTCACTTACCGTGTGGGGCCCCTTCTTCACCGGGGTGGCCCCGTGCACGCTGCTTCGGCGAGGCAGGGGTCTTGGTCCAGGTAGCTTCCAGGCCCCAAATTGGAGTAGAAGGTAGTGAGTGACCCCTCCCCAGCTTATGTGTGTACTCTAGACATGTAAGAGCTGACCTGAACTGAATGAAATCGTGGTGTTCCAAGAAAGCAAGACACTCACCCCAAACCGGGAGGCGACAGGCGGGGCACATGACGCAGGGGACTGTCAGGAAGGAGGGCGTGGTCCAGGGCGCTAGTCCTCGGGGCTCCTCTGCCTCTTCTGTCCAGCTCTTCAGCTGACCCGGCCAAGGGCCAAGCCTGGGGAGGGACCGAGAGTTAGAATACGGCGAGGCCAGCGCCCCGGGAAAGCCGCATGCTCTCACCGAAGGCCCAGAGCCCGGTCTCACCTGACGAATGCTCTGCGGCGGAGGGAGGTGGCTCATGGGTTTGAGCAATGACAGGAAAAGCCATGGGCCTGGGTGGCGGCCCCCAAACCAACTCGAAACCAGGGGTGACTTGGGGTGGGCAGAGCCCAGGACTCTTGGGGACGGGGCAGGCCATGGCAACACCTGCTTGGGCACAACAACAAGGCGTCTGTGGGGGGCAGGGACAGGACAGAAGGCCACCCAGACCCTGGGAAGCCAGGCAAACAGGAAGAGGGATCTGAGGGCAGTTCGGGGAGGTGGCATGCCAGCGGGGCCTGTCCCACGGGCACTGGGCATCTGTGGGAGACCTGGGCAGTCCTGAGGACAAGTGGCTCCTTGGGCCAGAGGAGGGGTGTCTGGACCCAGCAGCAGGGCCAGATGCAAGCAGGGGACAGTGGGTGCGGCAGCAGGCGGGGCCAGGTCACAGGGCTCTGCACAGAAAACCACCCTGGGAGACAGAGGGCTGGGCAGCGGGGCCCCCGAAGGTCGTAAGCGGGGTGACTTGGGCACAGACAGGGGGGAAAGCAGAGCTCCAGGCAGGCCACCGACCCCGCTGGTGGAGGCCAGGGGAGGAGCCGCCAGGCAGAGCAGACAGGTGGGCAGCCAGGCAGAGGCGGAGCCTACCCAACTCCCTGGAGGTTCCCTGCCACCTGTCCTTGGCGGAGGACCGTCTCCAGCCAAAAAAAGGAGCTGGGTTTAGCCCCAAGAGCTGGAAGGCATCATGGAGGGAGGGGTCCAGCTCACGGACCCCAACTCAAGAGGGAGACCTGTGTGGCCAGGGCTGAGGGGACACACACCACGTTCCGAGCGCAACAGCCGTCAGCATTCAGCGACAGGCCGTGTGGGAGACAGAGCGCAGGAGGGGCTGGCCCCTCGCACCGTCCTGCCTGCCTTCAACAGAGGAGTCCCTGCTCCGGTGCCGGGACAGCGCGGCTGTCCTCGGCAGAGGAACCCCCCGGCCCGCGCTCCCTGGGCAGAGGCCATCAAGGGACCGGCTAGCGTGGCGGGTGCCCAGCCCGAGGCCGGGCTGTGGGCTTGCTCAGTAAGGATCAACTGTTGAATGAAGGGATGGACGCGTGAGTGAGTGAAGGGGAGACCGGCGAGGCCCCGGCTCAAATGGGGCCACTCTGCTAATCAAAATCCACCCTCCACCCTTTTGGCCTACATGTGACTGCTGGTGTCCCGAGTCCTCTAGCTAGACAACCGAGGTCCTTCACGGACTCACCTGTCCAAACATACATCCCACATACTCTTACTGAACCCCACGTGGTGCCAGGCTGGTGCTGGGACACCCAGAGGAGACGTGGGCAGGCCTAGAGCACCCCAGAACACCGGATTCGGCATTGGGATTGGAGGGGTGAGGGAGGAGAGAAGAGGTCGTGAAGAACAGAGGCAAGAGCAGGAAGCAAGGAACACCAGAGCTCAGAACAGCTGGACGAAGGGGGACATCTCGGGCCCCACCCGTTCCCTAGTCTCCACCTGGTTCAACCACATCCTCCCAAGATTCACTTTTCACAACAGATGCCGAGACCAGTGGGCTCTGAGCTTCAGGGGACCAGCACAGGGAGCCATCTAGGACCCCTGGGCTGGAAGAGGGGGGACACAGGGGTCCCACGCACACAGGCACACAAGCAGGTGCCACCCCCTCCGCTCGGTTTCCTCAGCTCCTCACGGAGGTCACCGCGAGGCCAGTGAGCGGGGCTGAGGTGGGAGGCTGCCCTGGGGACAGGGCTGCTTTGGAGAAAGGGTCTTGGTTGGGCTGCAGCAGCCGCGTGGGCCGGGGCGACGCCTCTGGGCGCCCTTCTCCCCGAGCTGAGGAAAACTCAAGGGAGCCATGAGCTCGGACCCTTGTGCTGGGGAACACAGAAAAGCTAATGACCACCTGGTACCCCGAAACCCCAGCAGGAGCGGGTGACGGAGCCCATTTCCCCCCACAGGCCAGGCCGTTGGGGCTCCAGGAATGACCACAAAAGCCCCAAGGGCCTGGTCAGCAAAAGCCTCTCGCGGTCCGCAGGGGCTCACACGCTGGACTGTGCTTGGCTCTGGGCTCGTTTCAATGATCAGTGTGTGTCTGGGGTGAAAAGGGTCCTACGGATTCTTTTCCCCTATTTATAATGTGTCCTCTCAGATGAAACCCCGAAACTGTTGTCATTTCACTCTGCAGGGCCCTGGCCTGGGCAACACCCCCACGGCGGGGTCCTTGGACGATGTTTACTGGCTGCTGGTGAGCAGGTTCGTGAACTCGGGAGGAGGGCCTAGGCTGACAGGTAAGTTCAGGGAGGTGCGGGAAATTTTTCTACTCATCTGGTTTTCTAGCTCCAACCACCTTCCTTCCCTCTGAATTTTTTCCCATTTGGCTGCAGGTCTGGCCAGAGCTGGAAGTTTAACTGAAGTGATCTAATTTGATTGACTGATTGATTGATTGATCTGGCCCCGGGCCAGCACCGTCCAGAACTGGAGACGGGAGGGCATGCTTCAGGCCCTGGGCACACCTGCTGCCCGCAATGGGCCCCCGGAGTTCAAGGGTCAGGACAGAAGTGTGTTGGGGTGGGCACAGGACCTAGGAGAAGGGGCACAAGACCAGTCCTGACACAGGTCTGTCATCAAGTCCCCTCTGCACTGGCTCACTGTGACCTCGACAAACCACTGGTGCCCTGAACCTCATTGTCCTGAGTATGTGGGACCTAAATGTGAACCCCAAATCATGCCCTTCCGTGGGGGGGTGCCTTTGTGATAACCCCAGAGGGTCTATACTTGTGACTTGGCTCTTGCCTACCACCTGGTGACCTCGAGGTTTTCAGGTTCAGTGGGTCCTGAAGAGTCAGGGGCGTGCTGGGGGGGGGGACTGGGCACCCCGTTTTCTCAGCTCTGGGAGGAGGGCTCCCACAGGCATCACCCCGGCCGACGCGGCTGCCTGCAGGCTCAACCAAGACCCTTTCTCCAAAGCAGCCCTGTCCCCAAAGCAGCCTCCCAGTCCAGCCCCGCTCAGTGGCCCGGCTGTGACTTCAGTGAGGAGCTAAGAAACCTGGGCTCTGGCCCCGAAATTCCCAGTGTGGCCTCAGGACCGTCGCCCCTGCCCTGCAGACGCCAGTTCACCTCATTATGATAATCAGGGTGTTTTTCCTTCACAGACAAAGACAGCTCCTGAGGCGGTGAACACTGGAGCCCAGAAGCTACCTCATTAATGTCCAGCCTCCTCCTCGACAAGGTCCGAGGCTCGCCCTGGGTTCATTAGGCGAAAAGGGCCCAAAGTGCAAGAAAACTGAAAAACACAGCTGGGGGGCGGGCGGGGCGCTTTCTGTTGGCCATTCATTCCTTGAAAGCCTGCGTGTACCATCGGGACTTAACCACCAGCAAGGGAGCTGGGGAGGGTCCAAACAGGATGGAGGAGGTAGAGGTTAAACTTGATAGGAGTTAAGACCCCAAAACGGGGCAATTTGATTTGGAAGCTTCCTGGAATTTGTCACTGGGATAATTAATTTAAAACCTATTTCCTGTTTATCTGAGCCCAACCCGACCCAAGAGGAAGCCTTTCCCGGGACGTGTTTTTTGGTAGCTGTTAACATTTTCTAAATCTCCCTTCCCTACGGGATGGTTTTGCTGCCTTTTCCTCCTTTTCTTCTTTCTCTCCCACCACACCCCCCCCCCCATCTTTCTTCTCTCTGTGGTCCTCCCTGTGGGAACTTAACCTGGAAGAAACTCGGAGGGTGACGCCAATTGTAGTTTTTCACAAATACTTAAATGACCTTATTTCAAGTCCCTCAAATAGTGTCTAGTTCTTACCTGCAAGACAGCTCGCCCGACCTGCCAGGTGACCACAATGAACCCAATTGGGCAACTGAGGACAAGTGGCGGGCAAAGTGGCCTACCCCTGGGCCCCAGCACTAGGCGGGCCAGCTGAGAACCAGGGGTGCCGGCAGCAGGGAGCGCGTGTCAACAGACGTGAACCAGGGCCCAAAGCCACGTGAGAGCAAGACGGAAATGTGTCCACGTGTCCGAGCTGGAGATGCGTCCAGGTGGAAGCTACAGAAGAGTCATTACCTTAGTGAAAGCCGCTCGATGGAGTAGAGAAGGCAGGAAGCAGTGGGTTGAAGAGGAAGCTGGAGGTGAGGAAGGAAGACAGCAAGTGGAGACAGGCCTTTCGAGAAGCTGCGAAAGGAAAGAGAGAGACGGTAGTGGCCGGACAGGAGGACAGGAGGAGCCCGGGAGGCTCCCGCTGTGGAGAGAAGTCAGGAAATCGGAGGGGATTGCTGGTAACCGGAGGTGCGACAGGAGTGACCAGTGCAGAGGACACCCCTTTCTTTGCAACGTGGGGTGCGGATGTACCTTGGGACCCCAATCGGAAGGGCCACTTGACAGCCTCTGTTCCCTGGTAGGCAGCAGGCCAGCCCCAAGTCGGGGCAGAGAGTTGTGAGCTTCAAATGAATTGACAGTTGCAAACGGCAAAGGGAGACTTCGACGCTCCCTGTAATTACTCACTGGCGGAGGGAGGCTCGTTTTTACAGCCCACTCAAATCTCACCAGGGCCTGGATTTCACTGACCATAAATTATGCGTCCTTACATTAAGGATGTAAAAGGCAGCGGGTAAAGCTCCTGCCAGCCTCTGGAAGACAAAAGGTTCCCTCCTAATAGCCTGGATTAACTCAAAGCAGCTCTCCGCCCACTTCATCCGTCACCTTCCAAGTCACCCTTCCACCTTCATTTGCCATATAACCCAATCAGGCCCTTTCAGAGGCCCGGGGGCTATTGTCTGCTCCAAGCCGGGCTTCTCAAAGCACCCCGAGTTGTTTTTGTCTTGTCTGGACAAAACTGGTTGGCTTAAAAGGGGACGAAAAAAAGTGCTGGCCAAACGAGGACCCCAATTAGCTTCCAAGAGACTGTTTGCCTCGTCTTTGTATCACATACCAAGGCCTGGTGAGCTGGGCATTGTCGCTGTTCCAAAAAAGGTTTGTCGGATTAATTCTGTTTTTATTCGTTTTGAAATTTATTTATCGAGCGCAAACACTCGCAGCACCCAGTGGGTGCTCGCCCAGTTCTTCCTGAGGCAGAGGAGGGCTGGGCATGCAAACGAGAGGGGCGAGCTCGGAGTGCCGGGGACCTCAGTTTCCACAGCGATTTACAAAGCACTTTCTGCTTTCCTAGTAGTTACATCATTTGTTCTTCAAAAGCACCCTGTGGGGTAGATAAAGGCGGGTGGGTTTTTTTTTTTTTTTTTTTAAATCCTCATTTAGACCATGAAAGGAACTGAGACCCGGAGAAGTTAAGCGACTTGCGGAAGGTCACACCGTGATTGAGGTCGAGCCAGCACATGTTAGCAGCATTGGGGCCACCCAGACCCCCAAGACCACCCTGGGCAGCTAGGATTTCAAACAGGCTGTCCCACTGTCAGACGCTTGACTGGAAATCAAAAGTTCTGAGTCTAACTCTGGGCCAGGGGGGTACGGGGTAGCTTCAATGTCACCCAGGGTCCAACTCTGACCCCTTGTCTTGCCAGCAATGTGACAAAATACTTACATTTCTCCAGCCTCAGTCCCGCATCATGGTAAATGTGATTAAATGCTGTCCCACAGGAGGGGCACTCAGTCCCCACCCACCTTTTTAAAAGGACTTGTCAATGCCGAATTCAGTCTCATCTATAAATGAGGCTGCAACATATTCAAACACAGAAAGTGCTCTGGAAATGACCGCATGCATAATTCCTGTTCCTACTCAAGTCAGCCCATCTCCCTTCTTGGTTGGCGGCGCCCCTACCTGTGCAAGGAGAGCCCCGTGGACAGGGGCTGTCGAAGCGCTGTGGGAGAATAAACGAGAGGTGTGAGACCAGTGACAGAGGTGGGGATGGACTGACGTACCGAGCTTTCAAACACACTTGCTGGCTGCCTCCTCTATGCCCAGCCCTGCCCCAGGCTGATTTGGCTCATTTAATACTCACAACAACCCTGGGAGGTTGCTCTTCTCATCACCAGTCCACGGAAAGGACCGGGAGATATCAAAAGGGGAGGGGATGCCCATGACGTCAGGGCTCATGCTCATTCCAGAAGCCTACCTGGGCCTTGGAATTGCCAGAGATGCTGGCGGAGCCCTTGGCCCAGGTCCCCCTCCTGAGAAGTTCCCAAAGGGATCCTTCCATTCAGGACATCAGACGGGCAACAACAGGGTCAGCTGAGAAAGACTGACACCTTCTTGGGGAGGGAAACACTCCAGGTCGCTGGCACATTAACACAAGCAGAGACTTACAGGAAAGTACTCATAGCAACAGGCACAAGCATAGCAAAGGTCAGGGGTTACTGTCCAATGCCCCCTCACTAGGGCATTGGTTTAAGTCTTTAGCCAAGAGGAACAACTGGCTGGTCAGTTCTGGTCTTCTTCAGCCTCTGTGGTCCTGGTCCCGGGGAGCGTCTGCCAGGGGCTGCTTGGTGTGCTGGTGGGATTTGGGAATCGGCGCTCCTGTCATCCTCTGCAACTGATCAAAGATTAGAGGAAACACTTAAAAGCCCAAGTCTAGGTATTAATTAAAACTTAAATGAGTTAATTACAACTAAAAGTAATTAGCTAAAATTTAAAGTTTTTCTTTAATTGCTAATGGATCTCGGGTGTGGGAGGAGGGTGGCAGGGGCGGGGCTTCAGCCGCCAGGTGCAAGGTGGGGTTGCATACCATAAGGTGGAGATGAGCAGCAAGCACCTTGGCAGCAGCTGGGCATCGAGAGGTGGTCCTTGAAGACAAGGAGTTGAGTGGTGATGTCATCCCTGAAGAGAGAACCTAAGGCATGGGAGGGGGCCAGGTTAGAAACCATCTTGATGACCTCTAACGGCCAGCGCAGGAACAGCAGAGAGAGGGAGGGGGCGGTCAGAGGGAAAGCAGGGGGAAATGGGAAGAGGAAGGAGGAGGGAGGGGTCAGGAGGGAAGAGGGAGGGGGGAAGGGAGAGGATGGAGAAAGGAGTGGAAGAGAGGAGGGGGGAAGGAGGGGTGAAAAAACCGGAGGGGAGGGGGAACAGAAGTGGGAGGGGTAAGAGAGAGGAGAGAAATAGGAAAGGGAGGAGGGAGAGTAGAAATGGGAGGGGGAGCAGGGAGAACAGAAATGGGAGGGGGAGGAGAGAGAAGTTGAAGGGGAGGAGGGAGAAAAGTGGGAGGGGGTAAAGAGGACTTGATTGACAGGACGCAAGTGTTAACTGTGTGCGCACGCGCAACCTCAAGCCTGGTTTGGCGGGCTGGGAACATTTGCAGGCACAAACCGCCAGGGGGCGCGCAGTCAGCACCAGAGCCGAGGAGCACAGCCACCTGAGGAGGGCGCAGCAGGAGCTTCTCCAGCCCCGCCCGCGCCTGGCCCGCAGCTGCCAGGGCAACAGCTGGCATAGGATGGGGGGGCGCCCAACAGGTCTCAGGCTAGGAGAGTAGACACAGCCCACCCCAGCCCATTGCACAGGGCCACTAAGTCTCCTCAAACACATTCCCGCCATCACCAGCCAGAATCCACCTGTGGACATGGGGCAGCAACCCCACGCAAATGCCCAGAGGGCCTTCTGCGCCCCGCAACAGTGGGGATCACCAGAGACATGAGGATATCAAGCAAACAATCGCCATTAGGGTCTTTACACAACACGATTCCACTTTTAATAAGTAAAAACACAGAAAGCGTGGCTCCGACCTTCAGTAAATCCAATTAAACATAATTAAAATTTAGAAGACCCAGTTTTCAATACGTTTCCACTCACTTCTGTGGTCTCTGCACACATGATATAAAATATGGTGTTGCTAGAAAATAATATAAAGGCGGCCAAAATCACCTAAAGTCATCCAGCCCACCATTGCACCCCCCCCCCAATCTAGCCTCCCTTTTCCACGGCAAGAATTCCAAGATCCCGCACCACGGCGCCTAATTAACTATTTTATGGCCTCTTCCGTCCTGCTCAAATGAGCCACACCTTTCTAAGACCCTCAAACCCAAAACAAATTAAATAAACTAATCTGCGTCCACGCACTTCCACGACCCCCTAAGCCACACACACACGGCATCTCCGCCCAGCTCGAAGGCGCTCCGACTGAACCTAGGGATCTTAAAACACCTCCCTCTTAGGTAAATGAATCCAGAATTCTCCAGTAAATCTCACGTCTGACCCCCTCCAGCAGAAGAACAAAGGCCACCTCCCCTCCCCACCCCGCCCCCCCAAATTCCGCAGTGCCACAAGCGCCCTCTGGCGGCCACCAAGAGAACATTCCAGAAACCTGCCACGTAGCAACCCGCTAGCGCCCTCCCCACACACAGCCCGCGGGCCCTGAGTGGGGAGGGGGTGGCTTGGGGGGGCTTGACAGGGACAAAGGAAATGGCAAAAGGCGACTTTATCAAAAATCAAGAGCCGACAACATCTCAGAATCTTCCAGAGGCCATCAGCAATCCTGAAAAGACCCTCCGACCCCCGATTCCCAGCTCCCAGCGCCAAGAACCCCCCCAAACACGCCCCCTTTTCTGTATTTTTCTCTTCCCGCTTGCTTCCCAGACCCAAGGGCACCCTCTTTTTCTAGTCTGCCAGTACCCCCAATTACTTGACCCTCCCTCCAGCCGCCCTCGCTACAGAACTGATGGAGGGGGCTTCTGGCAGGTTTGCGCTTGGGCGCCATCTCTCTCCACCGTTAAGGAGGCTTTCTCAGGGTGAAACCAGATGATATCGGTTAGAAATTTTACTCATTTTTGACTGGAGCGGTCGTCTCTGCACTAGACCTGTGTGCTTACACTGGGGATCCCTCACGGATGGGAACCTCTACTCCTCACGCCCACAGGCCACCAAGAAGCGGCCAGAAACCAGGGGGAGGGATGTGCCCAGGAGACCTTTCTCTTTGGGTGCTTCCCCCCTAATCCGGGGGGCATGCAGAATGCATCCGCCGCCATATCTCCCACCATTCGTGATTCTGAAGGTAGCTTTAAACACGAAAAATCTGGATTTTGGACCCCAGGGACTGCGGGACACTGGATTCCGACATGGATTTGGTGTGATTTCTCCCATTCCTCTTAATGTAAGCCCCCACCACCCTGCCCACCGTGAAGGACTGGACGAGAATGGGGCCCTGTTCCCCGCCAAAAAATGTGCCTCGAGATTTTTCTTCCTGACAGCATTCTGTTGCCGACGCTCGGGACCAGGCGAGATGGCCACCTTCAAGAGAAGGTCCCGGCGTCTGTCCTTCGGCATGTCCCAAAGGACAGAACCCAACCCACACGAGGGTGTAGCCTTCCTTTTGCACAGCCTTTCTGGCAAGGATGGCCAACCACTCACCTGGTGGGGAGATTCTCGCGTGGGCGCCCCAGTTCTTCGGAGGAGCTGCGGCCAAGGCCAGCGAGCCAAGGCGCGCTCCATCCCAGCTCTCCGCCGTCTGCGCTAGGGGCTGGCTGGGTGGGGTTTATATGGAGGCGCAGAAGGGGTGGTCTCTGACGTCAGCACATTCTGCTGCAATGCGCTCATTTCTCCAAAAGTGATTGGCTGGAAAAATGAGCCCCCCAGATTCTATGACAAATTGCTCTAGCCGCACCCAGATTGCAGCAAAGAAGGCAGGAAAAAATTCTGCCGCAGTGCCCCTCGCCGCCATGACCAACACCCTGTGCTCACTGGTGTTTTTTCCCTCCACGAGCCCCGCTTGCCAAGCAGGGCGATTTGTATGCACAATTTGCTGGGAGAAGGGGACCGGGGACATTTTTCTCGGCCGGGCCGAGGGTAAAGCTGGGCTTCAGGGGTAGCACATCCGCCACCTGGCTCTTTCGGAACCTCTCTTAGAGGGTGCGTCTAAGCGAAAGAAAATGATGCTTTCTGCTTATTGTCCTAGAAAGTAAAATCCCTGGGCGAGATAACCGGTACCCAATGTAAGTCGGCGGCTGTCACCCCCTTTTAGCCCACCCACCCATTCCTGATTGGTTACCTTTGACACGGGAGACTCGGCACAGCACCTTCGACTCAAAAAAAAAAAAAAAAAAAAAAACTATGGTTTTGAGTCCAGGCTCTGCCGCTTACAACCTGTGTACCCAGAACCCTGCAGTGCCCCCTCCGTTGCTAGAGGTTCCGGTTCTCCACGTTAACAAGGGGGTATGCCTAACGGGATTGTAACGAGAACCTACGCATGAGCCCTGGCCCTCTAGGAACAGTACTTTTCGAGGTCTGTGTCCCACCTAGAGAGGCATGGGGTACCCCCCCAATTGAGGTGATTTCCCCACACGTACACTTTGAAAAGCGCCCCCCACCCCCTCGCACCGCCCGGGAGAAACAGGCGGCGACACATGTTGCGGCAGCGCATGGCTGCACGGCCTCGTGCGCCGGGACTTGGCACACGAGATTCGATCCCTAACAGGTGGCGCCTTCGGAGCTCTGCCGGGCACCGAGTGGCAAAGCGGGCAGGGCCGTCAATCAAATGTCCTCTCGAAAAGGTCAAAATGCTGTTGAAAGGGACTAAGGATCTATCTTAGGGTGACAGGTGGGTGGCAGCCGGGAGGGCAAGGATGAAGCGCCTGGTGACAGAAGAGGGTGAGAATGAGTGATGGGTCCCAAAGGGAAAAAGGCAGAGGGGCCCCGCGAAGGTATCAAGTTAGAACAGCGCCCCCCGCCCTCCTTGCGGGGACTTGAAAGCAGCTTCAGAGAGGCCCCAGGCCCAGCAGCCCTGCGAGGTGGTTGTAACACAGACGGCGGCGGATTCCAGGGCTGAAATGGAGGATCAAGGCTATTTGTGAAGCCAGCGGACAGTGATAAGCACGTGAGCCTGGACCACCGGGCCGCAGGACATCCCGAGCCTTGGGCGGGGGCTCGTTTGTAGATACACGGGCACAAGGGATAAAGTGGGCTTTGGGGCTCATGGCTGGGAGCCACCCTAACATGTCAGATAATGTGAGGGAGACAGAGAACATCCCTCTGACAGCTTAAGGCGTGTGCAAGGCCCTCCAGGGACTAGAGCCCCCCAGCAGGAAGGCCCGCACCCACCATTGACGTCAAGGAAGCTTCAAAAAATCATGGCTCCAATCTTCCAGTCAACAGGAGAACGTTTATTAGCCACGGTATTAATAGCTAGGAAACAGCCAGAGCCGGCGGGGACCAATCAGCGGCCAGGAGCCCCTATCGTCAGGCCTGAGCGGCCAATCAGGCGCCAGCAGGCCGGGTTGCTAGCCTCCCCGGGGCAGAGGCGAGGGGCTTGCATTGTCACGGGGGCTCCTGCTCGCCCTCCACGCGTGGGAGGCCTGTGTGAGAGCCCAGGCAGCCACCAGAGAGCGTCAGTAGTCACGCACTCGGGGTCCCTGGAGTCTGTCTTAGAGACAGGGCCTCTTGGCATCAGCTCTGCAGCCCCAAAGATCATGAGTTGACACGCTGGGAGGAGCCCCAGGCCCTGGTTGGGGTGCCCCTGAGAGGCCCTGTGGAAGGAGAAACTCCAGACATGCAATGTGCATCTCTCTCCAACAGCCCAGGCCCCACTAGGGAAGCTGGGCCTCCCAGCGCCAAGTCAGCCTCTCAGCGTTTTTTCTGACCTCCCTGGCTCCTAGCCTGCAGCTCCGAGGTTCACAGTAAACCCTGCTCCTCTTTCTCAGGGTCTTAACTGCCGAGGCCAACGTGAAGGACCCTGGAAATGATGTGTTTCTGACAAAAGTGTGGCGGGTTTGAATCCAGCTCTGCCCCCTCCTCGCTGGGAGGCTGAGGTCCAGGCCTTCTCTCAGGGCCCCTATTTCCTCATCTGGAAAAAGGAAAGAGTTGGACAAGATGGTCCCCAAGGAGCTTTGCAGTCCTGCTTTGCTTGATTTGAATGTATACATCAGGCGAGTCAAATGTCTTCCAGAACATTGTGCATGACAGTAATTAGTATCAGGTGTGCCCTGCAGCCCATGTGGTTACTTCATCACGCTGCTTTTCTTTCCATTGTATTTTATTTTAAACAGAACTCCATGGCAACATGTGTATTCTTCTGGCTCCCTAAAAGAAAGGGAGAAAAAGATAGAGAGAGAAAAGGCTGCTGTAAACGGATCCTGCTGAGCGTGGTTTAACCACAATACACACAAAAAAATCCATATGTTTAAATGTTTTTGTTGGCTTTTCTGGAGCTCAGAACCTAACTTTTAAAATATTTATTGGTCCAAAGCAATGGAAGAAATAACTTGAAAGAGCCAATCCATGGTGATCTTTGGATCGCAACCGTTTCTTGATGTGAGAGATATCGGGCGTGCTCTCCTCGCTCAAAGAAGACATTGGAGGGCTCAGATTCACATCTCAGGGCACAACAGACAAGGAAATCCAGGTTGAGAAATGGCTCGCTTTCTTTTCTGTACATGCTGAAACCCAACTCTCCTGAAGAGCCCTGGAGGAAAGCCAGTGTCCCAGACGCATGGCTTAGCCTGCTGCCTTTTTTTTTTTTTTTTTTTTTTTTAACGTAGATCTAATTCAAAGCACACATTTTTCTTCTTTTTTTTAATTCATATTTGGGAACCCTCAAAAGCCATGTGAGTGGTCTCCTATCCGCATGTACATACTTGTGGGCAAGTGTACAGGCGTCCTAAGATTCAGCCAGCGAATGAGGACAAGGTCCTCCTCTGTCCATCTCCCAGGCATGGGTCAGAGAGCTCACAAAACAGCATCCCCTGGGCGCCTGCACCTCTAAGCAGGCCTTCTCAGCCTTCCAGGTACCCCCCCAAATTGCCGTGTTCCCCAGAGATCTCTCTAAGCCCTCCTCAGCTCTTCAGCTCTGTACCTCCTTTTCGTTGCTAGGCTGGGTGTCAACCAACAGTCCCATCAGCTAGGGTCCTGGAATTCCCAGGTCCCTTGCAGAATGCACAGCAGTGCTAACAGCCCTCCAGGAACTCGGTTTCACCTTCCAAATAGAGTCTAACCTCTTTAGTTTGGCATTTAAGGACTTGTGTGAGGGGCTGGCTCCCTTTTTACTTCTGTCGGCTTATCTGAAGTCAACTCAGTATCCACATGCCCTTCGAGTTGGATCTTTGGGGGTCGCTGCTGTGCCTGGATCCTGGAGTTGGGCAGTGAGGCGTGCGTGGCCGCCTGCGCACTTCTGGAGTTCTACCAGGGACCCCAGTGTCAGGAGCACTCTGCTCCCCTGAAACCTGCATTCTAGATGCAGCGGCGCCAACCTTTGCATAGAGGAGTTCGCCAAATTGTAGATATTAAAAGACAAATAAAATTCGGCCTTTTGCAAAAGGCCAAGGATAAAGCCTACTTCCCAGTAGACTGCTGGGCTTCCAGGCGGCGCACTTGTGTGCTGGACTCTGGGGGCCCTGATGTGTGGGAGAGGGTAAGCCAGTGAAAAAGAGCTGGAAGGTAATACCCCCAAATTACCCCGTAATGCCCCTAAAAACCATTAGTTGTTCTGGGCAAATAAATTCGGAGCAATTTTTCTTCTTTCCACTTTTATGGATTTCTCTACTGACATATATTGCTTTTATAATGTACATTTTTTTAAAATGCAGCAATCCAAGAAAACTGACCATTTGAGCCTCTTCCTTAGGGACCACAAATATGTAATATTTTTCTAATAAGTAAATAAAAATTGAGAGTCTCAGGACGCCCCTTCTGAACAGTTCAAGGCATGGTCCCCGACCGAGGCTCAAGCATGGGGTGTGCACAGTGGGGGCCCGGAGGCAGCCCCCCAGCCACACCAGACTTCTGGAAGGGCCCTCTTGAACCCACCACAGAGATGAACAGTTCCAAGCTGGGAACGACAACAAGAAAAAATGAGCTTCATCAGTTTCATTCCTGCAGGAGGGGCCTAGAAAGATCCATTTACTAGGGGAAGAGGCAGGCCAAGAATGGGGTCTTGGCGAAGCAGGCCACCGCCCTGGGTTGGGTTTTAGAAAGAAGTCACATCCTGACATTAGGAAAACATGGCCACGTCGACCAGCCCCACCCCCACATAACCCCCCCCTCTGGCTTTGGGCATGGGCCAACCCCCGGATTCAAGCAAGGGGTTTTCTTGGCCCAACTCCATGGAAATATTTCCTTCGGTGGAGCAAAGAACTGCTTCATTCAGCTGCCTGCGGCTAGGGAGGGGGCTGGCCTTGCTGTGTTGACAGAGAGCAGCAGAGGCCTGGGGAGGGGCCCCAGAGGAGAAAATGTATTCCAGGTAGAACAGGACTGGAAAGTTTGCTTTTTAAAAAAAAAACTAAAAGATTGCTGACAGTTGAAAAACTGCCACCCCACCCAAGAGGCTCCAAGAGAAGACATTTGTTTGTGCTAGATTTCAGGGAGGACTACAGCAGGGACCTGTCTTCTTAACGGCAGAGGGAAGGGGGCCAATTCCGGGCATGCTTTCAGTTTAAACATTCGAGGTCTGGAGCCTTCCAGAGTCCACAGTCAGCCTCCCCGGGCCGGGCCTGGTGATAGCTGTGTCA